GTATTCTATTTTTTGCCATGACTTAGATTTATGGTCAGTTTATGTCAATAAACACTGACTCAAATACTGTAACCAAAAATTTCCCCTTAGAACCAATATTTTTTAAGCTGCCTAGAATATAGTTAGACATGCCTCACTTGTGGAATCAAACTTTCATAGTTTGAGTTTCAGGGATGATCTCAGCAGTATCATATCCAATATGTAGAAAGTTTATGTAATTGTCTAATATTACAAAAGCAAATGACAGTGACATATAACCTAACTTCTCAGAGTTAGTTTCATTGTAAAACTTTCTTACAGATTATGTGCTTTAAGGTTGCTTGATTTCAGATCTAACAGGTATAGAAGGAGGAAAATGTCCGTGTTTGGAATGAATTCTGGACTAGCTGGTTGGACTTAGCCTTATCCTGAATCACCTTAGCAGGTTGCTATGAGTATTATTCCAAAGAGGTGGGAATGTACATTGTCCGTCATGGGGATATTTTCTTCAGATTTCTCTTCTGCTAGTGTCATTACATGGCTTCCCCTCAAAGTGTCAGATGCTTCAAAATTTCACTTTTATTATATATTAATTTGTAATGATGCATTTATCTAAAATATTTTTCTAAGTACTCTCTTTCCTAAGTTATTGGTACAAAATGAATTATATGTTGAGTTTTGATATATCAAAATGTGTCATTAACAAGTATTATAGATCTTCATGCACAGGCAGGAATTGAGATGTTAGTTTGGTCATTAGAGTATGTACATGAATTTATATAATTCAATTTGGCATTGAATTATCTGGGTAAGTACACATCTACTTTACCGAAATTTTATTATAAGTTTCCTTATAAGGTAAATTCAATATTATAATTAATTTGATTTCTATGGAAAATTTGGCATGTTTTTAAGAAAAGTGGACACTCAAGAAATCTACCAGAACAAACACTCCTGCTTTTTTGTTTTTACTTTAGTTTCCCCAGCTTCAGTTAAAAATATACCACTTATTTTCCCTTAGAATAATGAAAAATTTAATTACATATTCTCTACAGCTTGTGTGTGAGCCATAAAAAAAGGAGATTTGGAAGAAAAAGGGAAAATGAGAAAATTAAAATGGGAAGCACTGTAAAATGATGGGAAGCATTAAGGTCCCTTCCCAAACTCCTTTAGTTATGGCTCTCTGGTGTCAGAGTTGAGAGAATGGACTTTAATCAATGTTCTGCTGCAACTCGGTGGTGTGATGCTATAAAAAAACATCATACACTATGTTAGACACACAGGACTTTAGAAACCAGTTACTACAACTTTTCTGGAGATGAGCCAAGACATATGTACAACAGAGTTAGAATCCGATTCCCCTCAGCTGGTCTGAGATTCTTTCCATAGAACATCACTGTCTGTCTCTCTTTTTTTTAATTTAGCATCTGATGTTTTTATTTAATTACTAAACATAAGTATAACATTCTGTGTTACCCATTACTTGGATAGATGATAAAAAGTTATAATTTTTCTTTTATTTCTGCATATTATGGGGGTACAGATTTTAAGTTTTCAAATAATGCCCTTTCCCCCCTCCCCCCACAAGTCGGAGTTTCCAGCGTGACCATCCATCAAACAGTGCACATCTCACTCATTATGTATGTATATACCCACCTCTTTCCCCCCTCCCACCTGCCCTATACCCTATTACTGTAGTTCCTATGTGTCCACTTAGGTGCTGCTCAGTTAATGCCAGTTTGCTGGTGAATATATGTGGTGCTTATTTTTCCATTCTTGGGATACTTCACTTAGTAGTATGGGTTCCAACTCTAACCAGGAAAATATAAGATGTAGTATATCACCATTGTTTCTTAGAGCTGAATAGTACTCCATGGTATACATATACCACATTTTATTAATCCACTCTTGGATTGATGGGCACTTGGGCTATTTCCACAGCTTTGCAATTATGAATTGTGCTGCTATAAACATTCAAGTGCAGGTGTCTTTTT